AGATCACTGCTCCTGCAGGCTCCTTCTGCAGCACCATGTAATTATCGATGTACGAAGCAAAGCGAAAACCAACACCTAAAAAATTCAGCAAACTGGTACATTATTAGGGAGTTTCAGCGCCAACTGGATCAAATGAAATAGAAAGAAAAATACAGTCTATACCAAAGAATTCAAGTACATTCAAACCTTTTAATCTTTTAAAACTAGATCTTATTCCTCCTAATTAAGTAAGCAATATAACAAGACAGTTCCGAACAATACATTTCATAGTACAATATGACCTCTAAGGAAACCAGTGCCTCTTTTCCTTCTCTCCCCTTCAGAGTTCTTGATCTTCCTTTGCTCTCAGACTAGGCCCTAATACTTCTCCCCACAAATTACTAAAATGTTCCTTTCATGCACCCCACAAATGGTGTTTATAAGAAAACTAAACCACTTCCTTCCCTGACTTTCCATTACTACACCTATCCACAGTAGCTGGGAATAAAGAAGCCATCCTGTCTCCATCACAGCTTCTCTAATATCCTCCACCCTTTATCTCTAACCAATGTTAATTTCCTTCAAATAAATCCCCCTTATTATGGTTTTTTGACCACCCCCAGTACTACATTTATGAATATTTTTGAAAAGTCTGCTGCTTTCTCAGGTAAATTCAGATAAATCAAGACACAAAAATAAGGTCAGTAAGAGACAAAAAGTCAAAGTGTCTAAAGAAAGGTCTTTTGTTACAATTTTGCCTATTTCACAACCTTAATTCTGCAAAAAGAAAAGAGAAAGCACAATTGAAACTGGATTCTATTCTACAGTCGATAACAAGACTGAATAAGAATTCACTTTAACAAGATCACTCCTATTTTTAACTTCCAGCCTATATCGAAGTATTTTTTTAATAAAATCCAAATGATCTCATTGAGTTCCTCATCAAAATTTTAGCATGGAAAATAATAAAACTATGCCCCAACTTGTCTGAACAAAACAGACCAAAAAAAGTCCCTAAAATAATTTACAAAATTAACTTTAAGGGTTTTAAACAAAAATAATAGGCAGAGAAAGAATCAGAATTAACAAAGCTGACATTTTCCTCCCTGGAAGCTATGAATGATGACAGGCCCCTTAGGCTACACTTAACAGCAGTACAGCTAATGGGGTCTCCTACACAAACTTGGTGGCCTATACTGCTCTTGGAAGCCCAGTCCCTAAAAGTCCTTAGCTAGTGCTCATGCACCTCACCCCTACCCTCATGAGCTAGTTTGATCATGATACCTACAGTGACAATCAGAGATCACCCAGAAGGCCTAACAGGCTGCAAATAACAGCAGCCATGAACAAAACACTCTAAGAGACCACAACACCCCAGAATTGCATAAGCAGGTTGGCAGCCTGCTGAGGGAAGGGGGAGGCACAAGTGTGGGAGGGCCCTGTCTTGAGTAGGTACTTCACATGGAACAAAAACCAAAAATCAAAAGCATAAATAAGAGCTAAGTAGAGAGAGGGTAGGAGTGGAGGAATGGAGTGAAGAAAACTGGCTGCTATTTTCATATCTGAATGTGCAGCCAATAGCCCATAGACTGGGGAAGTACCTTTTCAAGGCAGTCTGTGTTGGCCAATACACACTTACTGAATATCTTTGTTCATGGCTATATTATGCTGAGCTAAAGAATTTTAGAGGTAGAAAGCCTCTTAGAATCATGTTTTTTACTGATCAAAAGGTACTGACCAAGAGACTAAGACCTAAATAAATTAAGCAATTTTTAAAATAACTTTTGCATATTTGTTAATTCAACATTACTTATTGATTGATGCTTACCATGTGCCAGGCACCATTTTAAGTATCAGGGATAGAACAGTGAAGAAAACAATAGATAAAAATCCTTATCAGCAAGCAGCTGACATTCTAGTAGGGAGCTTACTGTGGCAAGCACAATGCTAAAGACACTAAATATTAAACTTTGACAATGGACTTAAATCACAAGGTAGTTTATGAGAGGACTACTAGAAACTGAGTTACCCGAGTCCAGAGTTATTATTACTCTGCCACAGTCAGGTAATGATGGTTCATCATGGAAAAACCAAATTCCCTGTGCTTATAAGGTTTAAATTCCAACCTGATTAGACAGTGGAACATGAAGACCAAGGAATTGAGCAGTGGACTAAGGAAGATTGAGAGAACAAGACTGGCAATTGCTTTTGAGTCAAACACAATACACATTTAACATTTGATTTTTTTTCTTTAATTTCTCCCTTATTTGGGAGCAGAATTGAAAAAAAAAAAAAAAAAAAGGAATGAGTGCTTCAGAGAACAGACAGACCATCATTACAAGTAGACCAGCAAAATTAGGATAGTGATTACCTCTCATGGGGGACCTGGCAGATGCACTGTGGAGGAAAACACTGGCTCAATAAAACTCAGTATTTTAGTTCTCAAATTGGGTGGTGAGTTCATGGGTCATTTCACTGTTACACCTCAAATATCACATGATAAATACTGGCAAAGGGGGTTGAGTGATTTAAAGGAAAGACCTCAGGATATGAAACCAAGTAAGAAAGATGGGAAATTTAGAACATGAATGAATGAATGAAAAATATAGTCCTTATTAGTGAAGGTTATGTAATGATATGACCCAAAGGAGATTGATACTGATATTAAAGATAACCCTTAACAAAAAAATTAATAAAATAATGGCTCTATTCTCTTTACCTTCTGCTCAACTTGTATGATGGTACCCAATGGTCACTGAGTGGTGATGAGTCAGGGAATGACAAGCAAAGTGCTACTAATTGAACTCTAAAAACTATTCACTATGCTGCCTGTGTGAATCTGGGTATTTTGTAGGTGCTTCAGTAGAGCAGCAGTCATATCATTCTCCCATCTCAACTTACATTTAACAGAGATCTTTGGGACTCGGGTCTTTGAGTGGTTTGAAGAAGGAAAAATAATTCAGCACTATCACTTTACTTTGTATTAGCAGACAGAGCCCCCTTTTCTGGTATCTCCATGCTGTGACCCAGGGTTTTCAGCCCAAGGTATTCAAACAGCAGGCTCTGACCTGCACAGTGGCCAATTTGAATTACTCCCCTTCCCAACGCATATCATCCCACCATCCATATTTCTAAGCTGCACCAGAAATCAAAGCTGAGCCTTAAATTATTATGAGCTAGTGAGGGGGTTGTATTTCTTAGCCCTAATAACCACTTAAACGAGTAAAATTTAATTCCCCCAAGGAACCCAGGCTGATGCACAGCCTCCCCAAAGGCACCACTGAGGGGGAAGCTGCTGAAATGTTTTGGATGACTCAGTCACCTGTTTCCCAATAGTTTTTAACTAGCTTCGCCCCCTTTCCTCCTAGCTCCCCTGAGGGCCTCCGTCTGGGCACATTTGAGCTTCCTCACTCTGATAAACCTAACTCTTTCCCCTCCTCCACACAAGTTAAGGACAGCGGGTAGGAGAGGAGAAAGCGAAAGAGCTCGGTCTCCGGCGCAGCAAACATCCGCAAGCCAGCCAGGGTCGCAGAAAACCGCCCCAGACCATGGGCTCGGTCCCAGACCTAGAGGGCCGGCGCGGATCGGGATCCCGAAGAGGATCGGGACCTCGGAGCCTGAGGCCCCTGAGGGGTCCGAACGAGCCGGGCCGCCTCACCTGCACTTCTGTCGGCCAAAAGGATTAATGGCAGAACCAGCCGGAGTGCAGACCCTGGGGCCACCATGCTTGCGACGGTCTGTCGGCAACCCGCTGGACTTGGGAAGTGCACCACAGCGGGGGGCGGGGCGGGGCTTGTGAGGCCGACTCCACCCTCCCCGGGACCTTCAGTCCGCGAAACCAACGCGGCCTCGGAGGGAGGAGCTCCTCTCTCCCTCCGGGCCGCCGTAGTTTAGGGGTCGGGGGGGGGGGGGGGAACGGTTACCCAGCAACGAGAAAAAACAACCGGAACCACCCGCACCAGCTCGGAGAGAAAGCAGAGGTGAGGCGGTTTCCCCCACTCGCTCTCCAACACAAAGACCTCGGCTTTTACCTCTCGTATTCTCTCATCATCCCCTACACACTCTGGGGACCCGGGAGCAGATTGGGAGCCAAGGCAGCCCATCCTTCGAGAGTTTGAAATCCCAGGTCCTCGACGGAATCACACCATCCGCCCTCCCTCCCCAGCCTGGTTCAGGGTCTCACCTGTCCTTTCACAACGCCTGGAGGAAGGTCTCATCTCCTGTTTCCTCTACAAAGGGTGGGCGCGGGGAGGACTTGGGTGTCGTTAAAACCTCTTTTCTCCCAACCTGGACCCCTATTCAGCGCTGACTTACAAAACAGGCCAGGTCCCTGGGTATTCTTTGCATACTCAGTAGTCCAGCCCATTGCTTAGCAGCTACCTTAATCTAGCCTTGTATTCTAAGACAGAAAGAGAAGGCCTGGTCGAAACAAAACCAGACAATAAAAGAATCCCAAAACTTCGCAACCTGGGATTTCAAAACCATGACCTTCTTTTTTCCTCTCTTCAGCGCAATTCAAGAGTGCAAAGGTGTTTCAAGACATATAGGCTTCAGAAGTGGCAGCTAAGAAAAAAAAAAAAGTGTGAAATTTAATTTAACAAGTTGGAGTAATTTTTTTTTAGACCTTAAACAGTGTCTTAGCGATCAATAATGAATTCAGTTAAACTACCTTTCTTAATAATCGTTCTGTCTAAATACTGTGGAATAGCAAAAATTACCCACATCTTTTAATACAGGAAGACAGAGGCAGAAAAAAAGTACTTAGTGGCATAGTAAATACTGTGGGGTTTATAATTTTTAAAAAATGATTTAGTCAATTGAATGAGTCTATATTTGTAATATTCTAATTCAAAATGAAGAATTTGAAATTCTCTGCGGGGGTGGAAATATATGGATTTGGGGTATCTTTAGAGAAACAAAAGTTGAAGTCCAGGAAATTTGGGTCTCAGAAATATTTTGTTGTCATAATTGTGATTATGTAATTAATAATTAACATCAGAAAAATTTAAAGATAAGTGCTCTTTAATGAATCTCTAGGTACTCTAGGCAATTCTTCCCAAGGAGATGTCGATTCCATTCTCCAACACCCATTATCGAATTCCACAAGGATTTGGGAATCTTCTTGAAGGCCTGACACGTGAGATTCTGAGGGAACAACCAGAAAACATACCAGCTTTTGCAGCAGCATATTTTGAGAACCTTCTAGAGAAAAGAGAGAGTAAGCTTTTTTAAAATAGACATTTTTAAAATAAAAGACTTAAGCATTTGGTTATGGTAAAACTTATTTAAGACCATCTTCATTCTACAACAAGCCTTTAAGCAGGTGACTTCACATAACAGTTCTTGCTATTGGAAACAATATATGCCTCTTTGACAGCTTCTCTTGATTCTCTTATTCAAGATTTCCTGTTTATTCTCCAGACTTTCTTAACTGTGTTTCTCATGGACACACAGTGTGGAAGGGGACCTCTAAAGATCAGACAAGTGTTCCTCTCCACTATCTAAGAGACTGCTCTTGTGCATCCCCAATAGTTGACTTTCTATTCTTCCTGAGAGGGTAATTTGCAATTTTCTTTAATTTTTGATTCTTCTCATTTGAAAGTATTATAAGTATTACAAAAATAATTCAACATGTCTTAGATTAAATAAAACGGTCTTCACTGGGGTATGAAACTGTTCTTCAATAAAGGCACAGAAACAAACTATTTTGAAAAGTGAACTGCCAACATGGGAAGGTAATTTATATTCTTTATACTCTAAAACTCTCATCCTGCACAGAGACAAAGATCTAAAGGTAACTCTTTGATTGAGAACCAAAGCAAAGCTCCTTCACTACCATGAATAAAACTTCCAAATCCCCAGTCTTAAAGGTTTGTGACTATCATGACCTGACCCAGAATCAAAATTGGGAATTAGTAGTTATATAAGTTTATGCTAAAAACCTATTCTTGACTATAAAATTCATTTTGTATAAACTGTTGTTATTGTTACTTTCAATGATAGTATTCCAACAGAATGGTAAAGGTGACTAGAATTTGCCACAAGCAGACAGACATTCCATTGCAAATCATTTTACAGAGGGAAGAATCTTAGCCCAAGGCTCGAATTCAAACAACTCACATGCATGGCACAGCTCCACCCCTTGTCCTCTTTATTCTGCCCTTGTAAAGCTCAGAATCTCTGCCAATTTCCAGGCCATTGCTAGTCTTTCCCATGTCCAGTCAAGATGAATATTTGTTGCACAATCTTTTTTTAATATTTATTTTTTTTCAGTTTTCAGAGGACACAACATCTTTATTTTATGTGGTGCTGAAGATCGAACTCAGCACCCCGTGCATGCCAGCCGAGCGCGTTACCACTTGAGCCACATCCCCAGCCCTGTTGCACAATCTTACTTATACTTTTAAGTTGCACTAAAAATATTTGACAAACTATATTTAGGGAGAAAAGGTTAGTAAGAAAAATGCTTTGGGGAAAGAGGTAAATTATTATGAACACTAATTTTGTTATCATAACATTAATTTTTACAAATTCACGCAGTAAAATGCCTTTAGTCATTTGTTTAATTTTAAAACTCAGAAACATAACATTACAGAAACATTTGAGTCATCATTACCAGATCCCAGTAATAAAAGCAATTTCATTATTCAGATTAATGGCCTGGGAATACTAGCTCAGTAATAAACAACCGGTAAAACCATTTGAAAAAATTTTAAGCACCACACCCACTTCCATCCATGTTAACCAAAGGTGAATTATCCAACTGATATAAGTATCAGAATTTAGTATCTCGAAAAAGGCAAAAGAAATCATGGAATTTCTTCTCGGTATCCCATACAATGCAAGAATTCCCTTACTATCATTCATCACAGGTGATTTTTAGTTTTAGTGTTTGTTTTTGTGACAAAAAACATCAGTATATAATATAAGTGGTATCTCAAATCACTAGGGAAACAGTGGGCTTCTTATGAATTGATAATGAATTAAAGAAGTTAAGAATAAAAGTAGACCGATTCAGAATAAATTCTAAATTGGTTGGAAATTTAAATATTAAAAAAAGAAACCAGGGTCTGGGTCTGTGGCTCACTGGTAGAGCGCTCACCTCGCACATGTGAGACCCTGGGTTCGATCCTCAGCACCACATAAAAATAAATAAGTGAAATAAAGGTATTAAAATATTTTTTTAAAAAGAAACCATACAAATACTAAGAAAAAATATGAATGAGTTTCTTAACATAAAAAATTGCTAACTAAGTTGCTTTAATGGCTTCAAATTCCAGATACAATTATGAACAGATTGATAAAATTGATGTCATAAAAGTAAACTTTTACATGACAAAAAGTACCAAAAAGAAAATAAAACTATAAGTGACAGGAAAAAAAAAATACTTGTAATTATTATCCCAGTGGGTTAATAAACCTAATAAAGAGCTTGTAAAAACAGTGTCTTATGACCCACTTCTAATGACAACCATATTGAAAAAAGAAACAGATACGAATAATTCAAACAAAAATAAATGCAAATAGCCCTTAACTTGAAAATCTACTCAAATGCTGCAAGTAGGGGTTGGGATTGTAGCTCAGCGGTAGATTGCTCAACTAGCATGTGCAAAGCCCTGGGTTCAATCCTCAGCACCACATGAAAATAAATAAATAAATAAAATAAAGGCATTGTGTCCAACTACACCTAAAAAATATGCAAGTAACAGAAGTCCAAATCAAAACTACACTGTTACCAACAACCACCCCTCCATCAAACTTGCAAGATGCTTTTTGCCAGTACACTCTAGGCAAGGCTAGGGGAACATGTACTCACACACATTACTAGTGGAGAAGCAAAATGGTACAACACGAAGGACAGAAACTCAGTAGTACCTACCAACGTTATATATGTATTTAATCATTGGCCCAGAAGTTCTACCTCTACATTTATGGAAACAAATATACAGTGGAGATTTTTTTTTTCTTTAGGTACTGGGAATCAATCTCCAGGATCTCATGCACACTAGACAAATTTTGTACCACTGAACTGCACACTCAACCCCTATAATAGTAAGAGTATGTCTACTCAATGTAATAATATATAACTTTAAAAAGAATAAGGAAGATCTCTAGATATTGAATGATCTTTAGGAATCAGTGGGAAAAAACAAGATGAGAGAAGGTGTGCTTAGTATCCAACAAAAGATTGATACGAATATATAACTTTATTTTAATGTAAGACTAAATCTTTTAAAATTAACATTTTCCTCTAGCAAAAGGAAACAAGATAAAATATAGTTTAAGTCTGGGTTTATTAATATTTAGCATAGTAATAAGATTAAATTTTAAAATTAAGCAATTCCTGACATTTAAAAATGAAGTTAAACAAATGAACTAATAGTAAGTAGGTGACACAAACACAAGGAAGAGAATTATTTCAAGTAAGTACATCACACAGTAATTTTACTGTACAAACCTGGTAGGTATAGCCTAAAATTAAAATAAACAAAACATAAAAACCTTAAAATGTTTTCAGTAATCACTGCTAATAATATTGTAGTAGAATGTTATAATTAAATCAGAATGTCCCCCACAGGTTCATGTGTTAAAGGCTGTCCCCCAGTTTGTGGCACTGTTAAGAGGTGGTGGAACCTTTAGGAGATAGGGCTTAGAGGGAGACTTTAGATCACTGGGAGCGTGGCCTTAAAGGGAATTGTGGGCACTCTGTCTCTCTTACTTGGTCAAGAGGTAAACAAGCTTCCTCCATACTCCTGCTGTGATAATGGCCATAGGCCCAAACACCGGAGCCAATCATTCATGGACTGAAACCTCCAAAATCATGAGCCAAAATAAACCTTTTCCTCTTTTTAAGTTTATTTATCTTGGATATTTGTTACAGTAATGGAAAAGTGACTAAGAGAGGGTTATTCTGAACACTATTTATTTATATAGTATAGAATAAAGCAGGTAAGCAACTATGCTAGTGCTATGAGGAATCAGTATTATTGTAGGAAAATTGACATAAAATTATAAAAATGAAAGAAGTTTATAAAATTTTGTAGTTCTAAATTTTATTTTACTTATTTTATATATTTGTTGGTACTAGGGATTGAACCATGGAGTGTGTTGCTACTTAGCTACATCCCCAGTCCTTTATTTTTTATTTTTTATATTGAAAAAGTTCAGTACCAGTGGGCACCCAGCCCCTAGATTTTCATCTCTGAATATCGTTTCCAATGACCCATGGCTTCTTGGGAAACTAGCTAATTCTATGCACTGGTCACAGATACAGAAGATGAGGCTGACCATCTTGTCATACCAAGAAACAAAAACACTCTCAAGGATTACTAAAGTAGTTTGCAAAGGACTTAGGAGAATCTGAGCACCTGAATTAAGCTCCCTCTGGCCAAATTTTGAACAGTTACAACATCAGTACTGGAATTCATCCAGTTGGTTAAATATTCATGACTTCATAATTAAAACAAAACCACCATTCATTGGACATCTTGAGAGGATCTTAGGAAACCAACTGATTATTTTGAAAACTGGCAGAGGAGAAGAAAAATTTTCTTTTCTGTAAGAGCTGTATTTCAGGGTAACCAAATAGTTGAAGAGGACAACCACTTTTTTTGTTGTTGTTGTTGTTGAGTTTCTTCAAAAAATAAAGAGGTAATGATCAAATTAGAGCATTACCATTTTTCAACCCCTAAAGAAATGATCTTAAGTGATTTATCAACACGGGACCCACAAATATTATAAAAAAAGAGAGAAGTAGATATTATTTATCTCCTGATTGCACAACTCTACTGATCAAGTATTCTTACCCCAAAAAGTCAAACCTCAATCAGATACAATCTATAGGTCTGCAGGACATTCAAAAGCAAAGAAAATTGTTAAAAGCCACCATGAGATAGAGTCATAAATATCCAAACTGTGGAAAATTCCAGAGGAAAAATGACCCAATTCCATCAACAAATAAATTGCTGCAAGGAAAATAATGGGTGGGTGGGGTTCCATTAAAGCAATTTAAAAGATATAACAACAAAAGGCTGTACATGCCCATTTTGGCGGGAGGGGGGGTGTTAATTTGATCAACAACAAAATATACTAGACAATGAGGGAAATTTGGATAGTTGACTGGATAGTTGATTATATTAAGAAAT